GATCTCCAAATGAGTTCCGCATATATCAGTCACTTCTGCCTCTGGGTCATTTTGGAAAATCATTCTTTAGGATGAAAAAAATCGTTCTTTTTTTCAAGAATCTTTTTTTTTGGTAGCGGGGATAAAAACATCATTCTTTCAGTATCTTGTTGGGTTTCTCCAAAAGGCTTTCTCTGACTATGCAAATGGCCTTTGCCTTTAATGCAGTGTTAAATGTTTGCTTTTGTTTTGTTTGTTTTTTTGTCTATTAACCTGAAGGCTGTTCAGGGTCACACAGGATGGGGATGGTGTGGGGCAGCTGCCATGGGGCTCCAAGGCTGTCTGGTTCAAAAGCCCATTCTCAGCAGACGCCCTGGGGAGCCCCACCGCGTGGGCTCAGCAGAACGGTGGGAATGAAGGGTCAACGGACCTGAGTTTGGCCCCAACTCCTCACCTAACAGACTATGTGTCCTTAAGTTCCTTAACCACTCGGAGCCATTTCTATACCCGAGAAATAGATCCTACCTCACACCTAGATTTGGGAGGGGATTAAATGAAAGGACATTTGGGGAGGAAACTGAGCCTCTCGAGAAGCCTGCCGCAGCCACCCAGCTGGGTGAGAGGCAAGCCCTGAGCTGGGTCAACGGGTAGGAAAGGACACCGAAGAGGACAGGAGATAGGAAGGGGACACAGCACTCTCTGCCTGCTCAAAAAGTTAAAAGCTCTCTGTCACCGAACTCACAGAACACGTAACCAGGCCCACTAGTGACCCGGGCCACCAGCTGTTTGTAGCTGTTAATGCCTCACGCTCGTGCTCCAGCTGGGCCTTCAAGCCAGCCTGGCCAGGCCTCCCGGCTCCAACTCTCAGCAGCTCAGGGAATCACCTACAAAATGGCTCACCAGGTGTGGCGGCGCACATTTGTAAGTAACCCCAGCCCTTGGGGAGGCTGAGCCAGGAGGATCACAAGTTCAAGCACAACCTGGGTGACTTAGCAAGAACGTCCCTCAAAATAAAAATTTTTCAAAAGGGCAAAGGTTGCCGCTTAGTACAATGGCCTGGGGTTCAATCCCAGTACCACAAAAAAAAAAAAAAAAGAAAAAAAAAAGGACACCTTTATAACAGTTCTCTCTTCCGATGATTTCAAGGATTTGGAAATTCATAGTAAAGGGCCTAGAACTGAGCTTGGCATGTATCAAACCCCGAAGTGCCAGCTACTTTCTATTTTTATTATTGTTTGTCTAGGGAAAAACAACTCTTTCTCTGTATAATTTTTTTTTTCAGTGCAGGGGTCCAAACTCAGGACCTTGTACTTTCGAGGCAGGTGCAGTGCCATGGAGCTAAATCCCAGGCCCTCTCTGTATAATTTCTATAAAACACATACAGTGTCCTATGCATAAGTCAACTGCACAGACCCCCGTGAAGTGAAGACAGTGTCGCTGGCCCGCCAGGACAGCGTTCTAGCGGTTGTGCTGCCTGCTTCAGCACTGTTCACAGACAGAATCCTAGAGTGGTTGGTCTTCCGTGCCTGGATGCTTTCACTCACCGCTACAGTCTCAAGATTTCCCCTGCTGAGCTGCCAGTGAGGAGAGAACAGAGAAAACTGGCCAACAGGGCCACAGGAGTCTGTGGGGTCAGTCCAGGCTTGGCTTCCTCTTGGGGCCCCAGAGCTGCCCTTGCAGCAGCTGCCTTGCCACAGAGCCCTTCAACCCGCCTCAGGAATCATGCTTGGGTTTAACATGAGTATAAGCATCAAGAAATAAACTGGGCATAGTGGTGCATGCCTGTAATCCCAGTACTCTGGGAGGATGAGGCAGGAGGATTGCAAGTTCGAACCCAGTCAGACTCTGTCTCAAAAAATTTTAAATTAAAAAATAGCTAGAGACTTAGGAAAATGTGAAGGCTGGGGATGGAGCTCAGTGTGGATCCTCAGCATGAAAAAAAGGAGAGAGAAAATAAATACTCCCATGTCCAGGATGACAAAGGATAAGAAAAGACAGGTATCAAAAATGGAGTCATAGTAGCTCTAGGAGGAAGAAAAGACGCTTGTTTTCACAGAGAAATTAATTTAAGGCATTAAGATTGTATTTGTCACCAGGAGTGGTGGTGCATGCCTGTAATCCCAGCACTTGGGAGGCTGAGGCAGGAGGGTCTCTGTGAGTTTGAAACCAGCCTGGGCTATGTAGTGAGTTCCAGCTTAGTCTCAACTACATAGTGAGACCTTGTCTCAAAAACAAAACAAAACAAAAAAATAGATTGTATTTGTCATGTTTAAGAGTGCTGAAAATGTTGGCTAATACTCAGCAGCAATGCTATGCAGAACAAGTGTTCTCCTACCTCCTTGGTAGGAACATAAATTAGCAAAACCTCCATAGAGGAAATTTGGGGAATGTCAAAATTGCAACGCACATACCCTATGGTCCAACAAGTTCACTTTTAGGAACTAATTCTACTTGGATACAGATGAAATTATATCCCAATGCTTCTAACTTAAGATGAAGCTAAGCAGCATCCACTTAGGATATGAAATCTGTCACCAAGGAATTGGTTAAGCTACGGTATTGATTTGTGGGATACTATGCAATCAAAAGGGAAGAAAGAAAAGGAGGAAGGGAAGGGAAGGAGAGAAGTTCTCTGAACGAATTACAAAATTTCCAAGTTAAACTGTTAAATCAAGAAGGTCCTAAAGACCCATGCGCTAGATAAGCTGCCACTTGTGCTAAAGGGAAAAATAAGTAAGATTCACTTTTCTCTGGATGGAGAGCTCTGGAAGTAATTACAGAAATAGGTAACCTCAGAAGGAAACTGAACAGCTGAGGGTCAGGAATGGGATTGTATCCTGGCGGTTCGAACTGTGTGACTAGAAACAGCTCAAAACCAAGCAATGGGCTGGAGGCATAGCTCCACGGCAGAGCGATCATCCCACACCCACCAGGCCCCAAGCTCCAGGCCCAGCACCAAACAATAAAATAAAACATAAACACATTTTAAAATATTTTAAATACAGGGACTTATGAGGTCTAGATTCCATGACTACACACGTGTACATAGGTATCTGTTGACACCAATTCAAGGTGTACATCCATACAGTGTGCCCTTCAGGGTAAATCGTATTTCACAGTGGAAAAGAAGCCAACGAAACTGAGAGTCCCCAGGCAGAAGAGGTGACCCAAACCGGATCACTAAGCCCCACCGAGCGCAGGTTCCTCAGTCTGGCTGGGTGCCAGACTGGCCAGGCGGGCACAGAGTCCAACATGGTTGCCCTGTCTACACCCTTTGTCCGCAGCTGCAGCGTCTCTTCTTTCCTGGGTCGCCTTGGCTCCACTGTTGGCCAAGGGGGTCAGGACCCATCGCCTCCTGCATTATTGATGCCGGTATCTAAGTGGGGAGCCCGGCGTCCGTTGATCCCATATCCCCGCCAGAGCAGAGCCAGAGAGGTGCGCGGCCCGAGTCAAAGGCAGTCAGATTCCCTGAAAGGGAAAAGAGCGTGGGCGTCAGGGAGCCAGTTGTCCGGGTTGGTCATGGGTGGGAGCGAGGGTAAAGCGCCCCAGCGCCGGGCGAGACCCAAGAAGCCGAGCTCAGCGCAACAGGAGTCCGAGTCGAGGGAGCGCAGACCCAGCACGCACAAAGCCCGCCAGGCGACACCAGCCACGGAGCCCGACACCGACGGGGACAAGGGGACCGCTGGTGGCCGCAGGAAGCCCATCGCCGAGGGTATCGGGGGCTGCAGGCCTGGATCCGGGACGCCACCAGAGGCCCAGGAGAAGCGGGGCAGCACGGAGGG